GTGCAGGACTAACGTGTGCATTTGCATTTGAACATAAGCACTGGAGGACTAGGGCTCTTTACTTTTTTTTATTTTCTTGTTTTTTTTTTAATTAACTTTATTGCTTTCACAGGGGATGTACAACATCTCTTGTGATGGTATGGGCTGTGACAGGTCCTCTTTATGGAGAAATATGGGTTTTATTATATCAGTTTGATCGGCTGCTTTACAAGCCTGTAACGGCTTGCAAATAAACAAACTGTAACCAGAAATGACTAAATTCTTGTCGCTTCCGGTTTCTGATGTCATAGACGGAGTGAAGAAACTTCTATTCCCTCCATTCTTCTCAGTGCACCCAATGCTAATCAAGAGGCCAAAAACCCAGCACCGGGTTTGTTCAGAGAGGAAATGAGAGCAGCCAGTGAGGGATTAACCGCCGCATTGCTGAACTGAGGAGGAGAGTATTTCTATGAGTTTAGTTCCGCTTTAACTGCTTTGTAGTTAGAACTATAGAAAAGATTTGTTTAGACCAGAGATGTTTTTGTCAAGTTCCATTCATACCATAATGTTTTTTCTTAAATTTGTTTTGTTTGTTCATTTAAAGAATACAAACTACTGTTAAAATATTTTCATTATCATCACATGTAATCTTATGCATACTTTGTTGTTTAAAAACACTTGATATAGCAGTTGTATAGGTAAGGTCTTGTTCACATAGGTGGCTGAAAGCAGTAAAAATAGGAGGCTGAGACATGGTTCTACCTCCCCCTAGTCGCCCACCTAAGGGCTGATTCACACATGAGATTTGGGGGCTGTAAAACCCTGCAATTGAGCCACACTTTTTTTCTGCCCTCCCCAACTACCACAACCTTTAGGCACTATGAAGTAAAGCAAGAATTGTACCCCCTTGTCACTTTTGACAGACGTAGCATCCACTGAACACAACCCACTTAAGTTAATTGGGCCACTCAGCAAGCACCATGCAATGAGTGCAGTTGTGGCGTGCTAGTGTGGGGATCAAGGGGTTAAAGCAGGCACTGAGTATTTAAGCAGGTGCAGTCCCCTTTCTCTACTGTAGGTGGCACTGGACCTGAGTGGTGCCACAGCCTAGGAAGAAAGTCAGAAGAAACCTGGTTTCTCTATGGTTTCCTGGTCCATGAAGGCAGCATTCTGGTTGGCAAAACTGCATCCAGGTGACCATTGGTTGCTATCTTGGGTCCCCCCAGGTTTTGGTACCCTTTTGCATAGTGGTTACAGTAGGGAAAGAAAATCTGTGTATTAGAGGCCATAAAAGTGGTAAATGAGCCCGATATATTGTCACAGGTTGCTGTAAATAGCAGTATGCACATAAATGAGTAAGTAAAGCATTAGGTCAATCACAGTTCACTGGACAATATGTTCAATAGGCTATATAGCAGCATAGAATGAAGTTCTATGCAGCTAAATGACAGTAAACCTAGTAATCCACAAAAATCAGCAATAAATAATGGCATAAGAAAACCGTAATAGCAATGATAATCAAAACTGTGATAACACCTCTGTTAACAGTAGATTAAATCTACTTTAGAGTGCATTCTATATGAATGGCAGCAATACAATTTAAAACTCCACAAAGATGTACCTCTTACTGTGACAATAGGCAAAGTTTTTGTGAAGCAGTTATCTGAGTGAGCAGTCTTTAGCCCTAGTTCTTCAGTTGGCTAGCATTGGGGCCTAGTCTTTATGGTGGTGCACATGAGCACAGTCCTAGTAAAGTCTGCATGCAGTAAATAATGCTGCTAGTTAGTTGGCCAGTCCCTATGCGCTCAGTCTCTGCCAGCAGCAACAGGTTAATGGCACCAATGTCTTCTCATCAGTTCCAGTGATACAGCAAAAGGGGTCCTGCTGTTCGGATGTCCTCTCACCTCTGGATCTGTGTGGAGCAACTCTGGTCCTCAGCAAACAGCTGCAGATTTAAGGCAATTTGATGTGCACACAGGAGCAGCGATGTGCACACCTCGGTGTCCTTGCAGCAAAGAGAAAGTACTTTGAAATTCAGCCTGAGAAAACACAATGCATTCTCACCATACTGAATCTACATAAAAAAGTAGTGTTGTCACCCTAGGACAGGAAGTGTTTTAGGACTTTAGAAAATCTTCCACTCTCCTAACCTCCATAACATAGAGGGAGGTGTTCTGTTGCCCACAGAGTAAACTGGGAATAATGCTAACTGAGTGCATCACAGACACAGAAAACAGGAAGTTATCATCTGACTAAATTTATGCCAGGATCCACAGGTATTTTTGCACTCAATTAACAGATACAACAATGGTTTATTTACTAGACAAAAAGTGATGCTTATTTTTAGGGTTTATATACACTTCAACCAGGGCCGTGGATAAGGAGATACCACCAGTGCTCCTGTACAGGGCCCAGGCTAGCAGGGGGGCCCAGGCAGCTGGGTGAATTGGATATGGGCAGGGAGGGTGATCAGCACGGTGTGTGGGCAATTACTGGAACCGATCCCCTGTATGGCTCTCTCTGCAGCATCTGAAAGCTGGATTCTTCTCCTCTCCCTCCCGTTGGTTTTCAGCTGCAGAGAGAGCCATATTGGGGATTGGTTCCTGTAATTGCCCCCACCCACCATGCCAATCTCCCTGTGCACATCTGATTCACCTAGCTGTCTGGGCCCCCACAGTGCTGGCTTCCTTCATCTGCTTCCCACCGGCAGCTGCAAGTACATAATAGAATCCTTCAGGATGGAGAGTGGGGGGGAAGGGTTCGATAAATATATCACATTAACCAGCCTCTTCCTATCCCGAATGAACAGAGTGAGTGATCGGTACTGATCACTCACTGTGTACATTCATAACAAACATAGTAAACTGTTGTTTTTTTTTAAGGGGGCCCTGTCAGGTTGGCTGTATGGGGCCCCGTGGTTTCTAACAGCAGCCTTGACTTCAACTGAAGTTCACAAAAACATATGTAGCTATATGTTTTCCAACGCATTTTAACCCCTTAACGCAGCCTCCCCTTTAAATGGACTTTAACCCTTTTACTACCAGGTCCATACGGCATACAGACCTACAGAGCTGCTTCTAGCAGGCCAGGTCCATACACCATACGGACCTACATTCCTCCTCTGCTTTAGGCTGAAGTGACCATGAACTTATATCAGAACTGTTCAGCAGATTCTGCTGAACACACTGATAGCTCTGATCAGTGGATGACAGTCTGATAGTTTTGTCAGGTTTATTAGGAACTGGCTGAAAATTACATTGCATGGCCAGCTTTCTCTCTTCTTTTGCAGGCAGGCCCTTCTGGGCTTTTTTGACCTGACAAGGTTGTTTTGGTTTCCTGCTAGGCCACAAAAACTCAGGGAACATTACTTGGATTTCAAAAACCCTCTAATACTTCTCTTTGTGATTTATTTGAAGTTCAAATGCAAATGAACTTTATTGGATACCACAAGAAGTTACCTGTCAAACAACTTGTACCTTAACTAACCCATACCCTGGTGCTGTAATGAGCTCCTGAAGGCATGCACAGCGACCGTAGAAATGACATCACTCAACATCTACTTCCTGATAACAGCTGGAACCGGCTGGTATTCTGTCTCAGCTCAGGGTGATCTTGCAACATGATAAAGCCTGAGATTTGTGGTACATTTCAGGAGACAAATAAGTTGATGAAGAAACCTGCTTCCATATTTTGCAACCATCGCCATTTTCTTTTTATAGGTGTGTGTCACATAATTATTAATTTAATTTCCTTGATTTCTGTCTTTGTTTGTACTACATTGCCAACTCACAAGAACTAGACAATGAAGAGAGGCAATAAATAAATGAAATGGATCATGTGATCACTCATCAACTTCTAGTCAGGCCTAGAAATTATGAAATAAGCACATATCAGAAACAACACATTAGTTCTGACTTTAGGAACCTGCCTCCAACTTTAGGAGTTGGAGGAACTCACATGAGGTTAACTTCATCTCCGTGGGTAAAAAAAATCCATTGTAAAGCTTATACGTTCACTATGATGACTTTAAATATACAATCAAATATTAGTGAGGGTGTAGAGGTACTATCTTGAGAGCCACTGGCTTTGGGTCCCCCTTAATTCTTGCATGGCTAGGCAACACGCGTTTTCCAACTTGTATCCAGACACAAAGAAACAGTCCATGGGCTTGACTTTTAGAATTTATTAGGGCATTTAACTTGGATAGGGTAAAGATATTATGGGGTGCCCAACTTGATTGAAGAACAACAAAATGAGGAAACTTTCCTTCTCTAGAATACTGCAAAAATTACAGATATCTGACTATGTTCCAGCCGGAACCACTGCAGTCTTTAGCAAAGTAATCCCATCTTTGGAATTCGATGCCTCCTGTGTGGGTGTTCAGCAAAGTGACAACTTATAGGAGCTCTTGGTCCCCTTTGTAAACAAAATGCCAGCCTACCTGACTATGGTATCTGATCCCAGGACAAGGGACTGGGTAAGCACTAAACTGTACCCTGAAGACTTGTCAAGAACTTGTATCCAGCAGACTTCTCCCTTATAGGCCCTGAGGGTGTTGATGTACTCACACTGTCCTTGTGCTGTAGCTATAGACAGAACCACTTTCAGACCTTCCACTTGGCTGGTTCTTTTCCAGGCTATGCAGGCTGTCCTTGCTCGGTCGAATGCAGGTCACTGGAGCTCCCTTTTTCAGCTTTCCTTCTTTCGCCAACCTCCAGTATGGAGGCAGAACCCCCCTTCTCCTGGGCCCCTCTCAGGCTACACAGCAGCACTTAACTCCTCCATCTTCCACTCGACTCCCCTACTAGCCAGGCTCTATCATATCTATGGGCCAGTCTGCCACACTGTCAGGCCCCCTGCCTGAGATTGGTCAGTCTTCCATAAATATGGAGATCAGCCCCTCCTCACCTCCAACTACTGATTTCTAGAAGCTTCTCCAAGCCCAGGCTTCTAGCAAGCCTCTAACTACACTCAGCAAACTATCTACACTAGAGGGTGCTTTTATAAACTTAAAGTGTTATTAAACCAACAACAGTAAAATCAGTCTGTACATGCAGTAAAGCATTTTTAATATACTCACTACGGAACCTAAGGGGTTAATAATCTGCATTGTATAAAAATGCTGTTTGATCCTGACTTCTCTGATCCTTCCCTTCTTACAGTACCCCTCTCTTATCTCCTGATAAGACATGTGTGGTGACACTCTGCACATGCTGTTTGGTGTGTATTGCTAGAGAGATGTTTTTTCTCAGGAGAGTGCATGTGATCAGCACAGGGCCAATCAGCACTGGCCAGACAGAGGTCAGGGGTTCTGCATCCCCCTAGAGCAGAAAGAAAACTCATCCTACAAGCTTTTACCAGTGCTTTGCTCAACACTGATAGAAGTCACAAGACTCCTATATACTTATGATAAGAAAAGGTATTTAGCAGTTTATATTTACTAAAATAACTACATTTCCATGTTCTGTGTACTGTGGGAGACCAGATAGAGTGAATGCACGGTCCTGGGTTTAGTGACACTTAAAAAAATGAACAATGCTATCTTTTGGCATAGAAGGGTTAGTCTTTGGTGCAGAGAATTAGTGTGAAAGCTGGGGTTACATGGAGGAGTACTATTACAGTTGGTGTGAGGGTTACAAGAAAGGTTAGATTTAGGGTAAGTATGTAAAGGATCTTGGAGTAAGGAGTAAGGATAGGAGCTATGTTTTTTTTTTGTAGCTCCTCGGTGTAATGCTTTGTCAAATCCCTGTGAACAAAAAAAGTGAACTGTAAAACCATAGCACACAAAAAAGTGCACATAGTGTACAGTATTGTCCATTCTCCGAAGAAGAAGGGCATGTAACCCTGAACCTCCAAGGGCACAAGGCAAGGTATGCCATGCTCTACCTAGGCCAAAGCCAGGTGAACTCCACTCCTGAGGGACCAATTGAAGTTGGTCCACTAAGTACTTTGTGAGGGTCTCTCCCAAAGATAAACCACCACCGGATGGAGAGAGGCAAAAACCCCGAAGACCACAGAACTTCTCCCCAACATCAGGGCAGTGTAAGTGCTTCTGAATAAACACTTGAAACACTCCCTAAGTGCACTTTTTCGTGTGGTGTTTTGCACTTGCACTTTTTTTGTGAACACTTACGGGTTTTTCGTTTTAGTTGCACGTTTGCGGACTTAAGAAAATAAAAAACAAAAAAAAAAAAACACTTGAAACACTCAACAAAAAAAGGTGCTATGTGCAATACACAGAAGGCCTTTCATCCCATATAACAAATTGTTCTAGCAAGCTAAAAGGCCCTCCCAGTGCAAAAGAAGCAAAACGTGATGTGACCTAGTGGAGGTGAAAACACCAGTTGTGTGGTGCAGCCCAAAAGTGGTTTTCCAGCACACCATGGAACACCACCCCAAGAGGGCACATCACCTGAAGCTTCCTGCACCTCCCAACCCCAGGTCATAGTTACATAGTTAGTCTGGGTGAAAAAAGACAAACGTCTATCCAGTTCAACCATTAAAAAAAAAAAAAGTTATCCTACACCCACAGTTGATCAAGAGGAAGGCAAAAAAAAACCTCAGCAGAGCATGATCCAATTTGCTCCTGTAGTGGAAAAAAATTCCTTCCTGATCCCCCGAGATGCAATTGGATATTTCCTGGATCAACTTTACCTATAAATGTTAGTATCCAGTTATATTCTGTGTATCTAGGAAAGAATCCAGGCCTTTTTTACCGCAATCCACTGAGCTGGCCAGAACCAACTCTTGAGGGAGTCTATTCCACATTTTCACAGTTCTTACTGTGAAGAAACCTTTCTGTTTTTGGAGATTAAATTTCTTTTCCTCCAGACGTAAAGAGTGCCCCCTTGTCCTCTGTGATGACCTCAGGGTGAAGAACTCTACACTGAGTTCACTAACCACTGATGTATTTATATATTTTGATCATATCCCCCTTAATCTCCTCTTCTCAAGAGAAAATAAATTCAGATCCTCTAACCTTTCCTCATAGCTGATCTCCTCCATGCCTCATATCAGTTTGGTTGCCCTTCTCTGTACTTTCTCCAGTTCTCCAATGTTCTTTTTGTGAATTGGTGCCCAAAACGGAACTGCATATTCCAGACGAGGTATTACTAATGATTTGTACAGGGGTAATATGATATCTCTCTCTCTGGAGTCTATACCTCTTTTAATACCAGAGAGGATTTTGCTCGCTTTAGAAACCGCAGCTTGGCATTGCATGCCATTATTAAGCTTGTGATCTACCAGAACTCCCAGATCCTTCTCCGCCATTGATTCCCCCAGTTGTACCCCCCCTAGTATGTATGATGCATGCATATTTTTAGCCCCCAAGTGCAGAACCTTACATTTATCAACATTAAACCTTATTTCCCACATAGTTGCCCAATTAAACAGTGCATTGAGGTTGGCTTGTAAGTTGGAGAATTCCTGTAAGGACGTTATTCCACTGCACAGCTTGGTAACATCTGCAAAGACTGAAATGGTATTTTTAATCCCAGACCCTATATCATTTATAAATATATTAAAAAGTAAGGGTCCCAACACTGACAACCCTAGACCATTCAGAGTATGAATCATTAACCACTACTCTCTGAATACGATCTTTTAGCCAGTTTTTCTAACCATTTACATACGGATTTTTCCAAGCCTGTAGACTTTACCTTACACATAACCCATGTGTGGGGAACTGTGTCAAATGCTTTTGCAAAATCCAAGTATACCACGTCCACCGCCACCCCTCTGTCCAAGGTTTTGCTCACTTCTTCATAAAAATTAATCAGATTTGTTTGACAACTTCTGTCTTTCATGAATCCATGCTGTCTGTTGCCTAAAATATTATATTCCAGCAAGAACTCATCTATGTGGTCTTTTATTAAACTCTCCAGTATCTTCCCAAATATAGAAGTTAAACTAACAGGTCTATAATTACTTGGTAAAGATTTTGACCCCTTTTTAAATATTGGCACCACATTGGCCTTACGTCCAATCCAGTGATACTATGCCAGTCATAAAAGAGTCCCTAAAAATTAGAAACAATGGCTTTGAAATGACAGACATATTCAGCCCCATTCAAATCAGGAAGGCATTAGAACTTAGGGATAGCCCCACCATTCCCACTTAATTACATCAGGAGAAATACTAAACACCTCCCCCACTATTCAAAGTGCACCAACTTTCTTCCTCCCGATAACTGATAAGAACAGCTACTACACTTGATTTAGCCAAAAGGCCAAGCTATGTATAAATCTAAATATGTATAAAATCTAAAATTGCCAAGCTCCCAGTGTTGAGAGCATCTGTATCAAACAAGTTCTCCCACCACGTTTTCCAAAGTTGAAAGTACATCAGGGATACTCTGAATCTCTACCTGTGTTAGATCTCAGTAAAATAACCTCACTCAGTGTTCAACATAAAAGATGTCTTGAATTAATAATGTAGTACTACCCCCTTAAGGGTTGCTTAGTAATTTTTTGGTTCCCTGTCAATTTGGACCACTCTCTGAAATCCCAGCCTTTGCTGACACCACCACACTCTTGTGACCCGAATAAGTCACCACTGTAAAATGGGCTCACACACAAGTTAGTGTAAATCAATATGAAGTTTATATTGAATTTAACGTAGCTTGATCAAAAAAACACGAAATAGCATTGGCATATGCAGCAATATAATCCCCCTGGTCAACTTTAAGTAAAAGTAACAGCATCCACAGAAAAGTACTAATAACCATTAGCACGCCTGCTTTCACAAATAATCCACTGCTTCCATTCTGAGATGACTGTTGAATCCCCAACAAATGAGAGCAACTATCAATAAACAGCTAAGCTCACTGTGGGTCCTCAGAATTTGATGGCAAGGATTAGATCGGAAAATGGAGAGAGCCCTCGTCTATAATCAATCATTGCCCCTTTAAGAACTATATGGAGTCTTCTGCGTGCTAGTTGGGGCCCAATTGATGTGAAGATGATCTAAGGTATAGATGATAGTTAATAAGTACTTCTCTTAATGGTGGTAAAATGATGTAAAATCCCCTTTAAGGCATTAAACAGGGACAGATTTGAAGTAGTAAAGTGTAACAGTTGGCATAAGTGTCTGTAAGCAAGAACAATTCTCTCTCTGGGTGACAAGGGCCACAGGTATCAGTATTAGAAATCCTGTTCAACTGGGAAGAGTAAATGGCTGTTTCAGTTGGCACCGCTGTATTCTGGCCTGCAACTGTGTGTCCTGCAGTCAGCTGGAATGATGAGACTGTAATGCAAAGATGTTCCAATGGTGGCAGCTAGGGGAACTAGGCCACAGCTAGGGTAACTAAGTGTAATGTCTGTAACTATGTGCAGGTAGATAGCAGATGTGATGAAATTGCCACTGTTCTCTCAGTTAGTGACTGTATGGCACTCTCTCACCCTATTAATTATGTCTGGCAGGTATTAGCGGTCCATCTTTCCCTGCAAATGGGGGCCAGTCCTGATTCGGTTCAGTCCTCTCCAGTCCTGATTCAGTGCCGCAATGGGCGCAACACGACCACAAATACAGCACCTATGTCTACCAGTGTTATCAAACATTATTAATCAGGATCCCCTGCAGAGTTTTAAGATTTATCTAATAGTAATGAATTAAGTAAGGCATTGTTTAATAATTGGTTGTGTTGGCTCCAAATAGTGATTCATACAGAGCCCCCAAAGGCATTATATGGGCAACCTCCTAATGTACAAATACTGTGTAGTATTAGCCCTGACTGGTAGTATAAAAACAGGGATATTTAATCAAATAGCCCCTGTAGGCCCTTAGTACTCTTCGTTTTCCTTACCTATGGATATTTTTTTTGTCCACACAATTAGATATAAGTATTTGACTGACTTATCATGCCTTTGTGGAAGTGTCCAACTTAGTAGATGTAGGGCTTTGCTTCCTAATGTTTGTGAGCCTCCAGCAAGGAAACCAGCTAGCCGTCCAGTGGTGACATCACCAAAGCTTATTCCCAATCTCATGAGACCAGCAGCCAGAGGCAGCTTTGGATCTTGCACTACAGACATACAGCTATGAGGTTGTAGATGCAGGCAGGACCAAGCAGGCACATTTACATATCAGAAGGTTCACTGCTATTCATGAAAAAATGTAAATCTTTAAGATAATATTTAGGCACAATTAACAAATCTAGATGTTTTGTACAACATAGTAAATCTACTGTTTGAGTTCCGATCTACATTGTGAATCAGAGGAATTCGCATATTTCAAAAATACATCTTTTCACGCCTCCATGCTGGCCTCAGCCCATTATCTGTGGTGGAACAAAGGGAAACGGTAACCTATGCACTGCAGTTAACACACCTACCAACTAATGGAAGTTTTTTTCATCTGACGTCTATCCTGCATACTTATAAACACTAATACTTCCATTGCCTGGTTAGTACAGCTATAGAAATGTTTTATTATACAATACACTTTCAAGAACACAGTGACATTAGTGGAGTTTTATTAAAATCACTGGAAACAAAGCT